GACTCGAAAGGGCTGGTTTCGCTTCAGGGGCTTATAGTGAGTACCCCGTCAGGCTCTGTTTCCCACGACAGACTCGTAAAGGCCAGCACCGCTTTGAATTTATCGATTGTAGCTTCCATCATCGGATGGTTTTCATTTCCATTTCGCTGGTAATCCTTTGTTCCGGGCTCATCGCAAGTGCTTTCATCGCGCTCAACTGCAAATACCTTCAGTACCAGTAAAAGCCTCCGATAAGTGTACGATCACCACCCAGCTCCAGCGACTCTACTTAGCTTTCCGAACACTAGTAAACTAGGTCGAAGGTTCGTAGGATACACCACGTACAGGTGAGAGTCTTCGCATCCCTTTAGTTACTAGAGTTTAGGTTTTAAAGAAGGGGTATTATAGGTATATATAGGTAAAGAGGGGGTGTGGATGTGGATATGGATGGATTGGGGATGGATTTGGGGATGGATTTGAATATATTGGGGGAGAAGGGGGGGAGGATAAAAATGAAGGTGAAGGTTAGAGGTTAGAGGTTAGAGAGAAGTTAAAGAGAGATTAAAGAGAAGAGATGGAAAGAAAGAAAGAGAATAATACTCAGTAGATTAATAAAAAAGTAACGAGGAGAGGAAAATACTAATAGTAGAAATTCGAGTGTCAGTGGTTGATTAGTTGGTCTGGTTAAGTATCAATAGTCTGTTTAGTTAGTTGACAGTTGGTAGTCTAAGTGTGTTGTTGATTGTTGATTATTAGTATTAGTATTAGTAATACTGAGTAAAACAATAAAATTAGTTACTAGTTGATTGAATACTTGAGTAAATTTGAAGATTTATAGAATTTTGAAGTTGGTTATACAGTAGTAGGCCCGAAGGAGATTTGAAGTATTCTTTTTCAAAGGAAGAGAGAGGGAGGGAAGGGGCGGATATGTTTTGGACGATTCGGACTCGGAGGGAAGGGGGTCTTGGGAATTTTTTGAGGGATTGGATTTGATGAGTTGGGTTAGATTGGAAAGGGGAAAGGTCTGAGGTGTTGAGGGTAGTGAAAGAAGAATAGCTTGTTGATTGGCTGATTGGCTGATTAGCTGGTTATTTATTCTGATAGATTATAGAAATACTTGAGTAGAGACTGAATTTGAGAGGAAGGAGAGGAAGGAGGGGAAGGTCATGTATATAAAGAAGGGACTCACTGGCATAGGAAAATAAAGGGGTCGGGATCGATCTAGATATTGAGGATTGAGGAATTGGATAATTGGATGGATGAGTGGATAGTGGATAGTGGATTAGTAGATACTAGATACTAGATATGTGCATATTTGGTATATTAGAGGTAGAGATAGAGATAGAGATAGAGAACTTAAGTAGTGAGATTTTGGAGTATAGATATTGATATTGATACGATACTGGTATATATATCGATGATGAATTTCATATAAGTACGGTTCTGATGTGAATTTTTGTCGAGTATTGAAAAGGGGTAAGAGGTGTGAGAGGTCTGGGAATGGGGAAGTGGATTGGTTGAAAAAGATTGAAGGATGAAAGAATGAAGGACGAAGGAATGAAAGGATGAAAGATTGTATGGTATTTCAGGTTTGGGGTTTGTCAGGTGATGTGTTTTGATCGATGAGCAGTCACCTATAGATTATTAGAAGTATTATCTATACTCGTATACTCGATTAATAGTAGATGATTATGAATAGTATAGAATATAGATTCTTATTATCGAATTATTGATAATTGTATAATATACTCATAAGTCATCAATAGTAAATGATTCTCAAGTGAGACTGTAATTTTTAAATTGAAGCTTGAAATGTAAGACTTTAGGTTAAAATTTAAACTTAAACTTAAACTTAAACTTAAACTTAAACTTAAACTTAAAACTTAAAATTTAAAATTTAAAATTTAAAACCTAAAACCTAAACCCTAAAACCTAAATCTTTCAATCTGAAATACAAAACTCAGAGCTCGAGATTAAATTAAGATTTCAAATCAGGATTACGGTTCAAGTTCTAAAAAATGAGACTGGACCACTGAATCCTTAATTTTTGGAGAAACAAACAATTCTCAATTATAATCATCAAACCCTATGAAAACCCAATCAAAAATCTACACCGTCCTTGTAATTTATTAGTAACCGAATATGAAAATCTAGTTTGGCTAGATAGTCTAATGCTGGCGCAGCTACTCTGGGAAATGTCGGACAATTTGAGCGCGGACATTATTGGCGCAGGAGGGTATCCGTTTGAATATCTTGGTGATAATGATATGTGGTTGATATTAGGTTGTTAAGTCCAACGGGCCACAAGCTGGTAATTACAAGATGATTAGAGATTCTGGTGTTCCCAGTCGAATTGACGGGGCTAGAAAGGGTTGATGCTCGGTTTATCCGGGGGGGGATTTGAATGATGACGCCGAGGCTGGGGAGAAGGATATCGGTTTCGTTGTTGGTGTTGTTGGTGATGTCGGGGAAGTCGAATCCTTGTATTTATTGTGCTTCCAAGGGTGTTAGTTGGAAAGAAATTAGGTTGAGGAAGAAAGGGCTCATAAATTTCTAGGGAGGTTTGGTAGGATTTGTATGCTAGTGACTTGGTACACTCATGATGGCTTAAAGATTATATGATTATTCATTGAGTGGAAGGGGTGGAAGGAGTGACTGTGGTGTGTCTTTGTTATTCATTTGAGAAGAGAAGAGTGTCAATATATAAACAGCTACACCAATTCAATGTGCTTTTTGCGAATGAGTGTCGAATCATCGCGATGAGTCACGTACTCTGTGAACCCGGGAAACAAGACGGGAAGATCGATATGCATGTTCTTGGTTTGTGGGCATATGAGAGAGGGGCGGAAGCGAGGAATATGACGCAAGAATTGTTAAGAATAGACCTGGCACAGTGCTATGGACCGAACGATCTAGTGGCCATGCGGCCATGGCGGTGGATATTATACTGCCAAGCTATTTTGCATATAACACCTATTATTCTTGAGTCTGAATATTTACATTTTGTCGCGATGAACCTTAGAGATGCGATTGTAATGAACATAAAATAATAACGAGGTTAGTATGTATAGTAAAGGAGATTATTGATTTTCATAGTTCTTCAAACATGAATCCTGTCGAATTGATACTCCTTAAACCAGTGTAGCACACTACTTTCCATGGATGCCACTCACAATTCGGGGCGAGGAACTTGTCCCCATCTTCTCATACGCAGTTGTAAAATGACGCTAGTCAACGGGTATGCGAATTTGTGAAGTCCAGTATTATCAAGATGTCCGGGAGTATGGACTGCAGTCCGATATTCAGAGGATTTTGATTCTTCAACTCGTTTGGAATATTGAATCTATCTAAAAGGATCCATAGTCTTTCGAACATAAGAGTCCGAGTATTGGAGATCCTGAGTATCATGGTAGTAACTCTCGTGAGTGGACAGTCTGGAGCCTTAAGTATGACTTTAGAGCAGGCTCGGCGAGTTCGACTTGCGGTATCGTGGTGCGTGACCAGACTGACTGGACTGATCGGTATATCAAGTAGGATGGATGATATATCAAACTAGAATCGTGCAAAACCCCTCGTTTTTGAGTTTGCCAGTTTCTGATATGCGATGTATAACAATCGATTTGATCGAGCAATGATTGAGATTATGGATATGAGCGTGACACTTCACAGGCCCAAACACAGCATACTCATGGCCACTTAAGACAAGGGCGAATCGCAGATGCTCAACCCAAATAAATTAAAAAGCCGTAAGGAGATTGAAATATAATTTAACCATGTTCTCGCAGAAATTCCTGCTCTGAACTGATTGAGATCTCTGCCAAACTGATGACTTCAGTGAGCATCCGTTGTGAACCCGAGGCAGTCATGGCTGTAAGATGGTGTATATTAGTATATTAATGTCAACATGGGAACTTGGATTGAATTGAGATTTTGAGACGACATATTTTTAAGGATCTTTCTGACGATGAATGATTCTCACCATATTCAGAATCGTTTTAGTCTATATACAAGTGGTGGGTTGTATCAATCTCAGAAACGGCAAATGGTCCGTGCAACGAAGATTTCCAGCCGTTGTAATCTGGATAGACACTTTAACAACCACAACTCTTCACCACCAAATTCTAGATACTCCCTCCCATCCGAGATTTTAACAGCTTCCTAGCTAATCATACTTTTCACTGGATTGCTCATTTTGGCAAATCCAGGAATTAGCCAATATACCGCTTGTTACATGTTCATTCATCATAATCTACCTTATGAGAGAGGTATGGATTTCATTCGCCAATTATGAGAATGTGACCTACTGTAAGGGGCATCATATATAAAGTTATGCAATTCTGTCGGTACTCACCACACCGTGGAAATATCTTCGTCGCCAACTGGCTGATGTGGATATAAGCTTTCCATCTAAGCAGTGTGATGGAAACTTTATACCCCACCCTTCATGCCGACCACCGGGAACGTGTCCTCATCCGGTATAATTAAGGTAATTTATATCGAAGCCGATATACTACCATCGCCTCTCCTTCCTATTCCATTTAACCTTCTCCGTGGCCTGCTTCCAATCTATTATTTCCGAGATGCATTATCCACTCGGTACTTTCACATCGTGACGATGCTACCACGTTCTCCCCTGACCTGGAATCACTTTCTGCAGAAAGGCAGGTAGTATATGGGAATATATATCACAAGTGACAAATGCCAATCTTTGGTATCCAATTGCAACGTGCCCAGAGAAGTTTTTCCGATTGGGGATATATTCAAGAATAGATCTTCCGTCATGGCCAGTGAGTTTGGACAATGGGCGGCTTGGTCCGTAATTTTGAACGATCTTAGCAGAAACTCAATTAAGAGGATCTAATAGACTAATACGAAAGTCTAAGTCATGGATCCAATACGGAAGTTTAAATATACGGTTATATAGACTTCAATGTCCCTTTTTGTTGGTTGTACAATACAACCTAAACTCTCGTCGATCCATTCTCTTCTGTTACTAGGCCAGTCCTTTACCAAACGTCAACATGGTTGCCTTTTCAAAATCTTTCCAGCTTTCTCTTTCGCTCTTGGCATCGACTGTTATTGCCAGTCCCACGCCATCACAACTTGAGTCTCGGGCCGTCATTAATTCTGATGCAGTTGTGGGATTTGCAGAAACTGTCCCTAGTGGTACAGTAGGCGTGGCTTATAAGGCCTACAAACCTCATCTTTATGTCATAAATGGCTGTGTACCATTCCCCGCTGTCGATGCTTCTGGAAATACTGGGTATGATATTTCTCACACTTTCATTCCTACGCAATGATTGTCAAGGTTCTAATATCTTTTAGTGGTGGGTTAGCAACAACTGGCAGTAGTAATGGTGATTGTAGCAGCAGTACCGGACAAATATACGTTCGAGGAGCTCAATCCGGATCATACTACGGTATCATGTACTCCTGGTAAGTTCTTCCCTACTTACATATAGCTCCGTATCAATCCAAACTCACAAAAACTCCAGGTACATGCCCAAAGATGAGCCATCCGCCGGTCTTGGACATCGTCACGATTGGGAAGGAACAATCGTCTGGCTCTCCAGCTCCACCTCTACTACCGCCGCCAACATCGTAGCCGTGTGTCCTTCCGCCCACGGAGGTTGGGATTGCTCCACTGATGGTTATTCTCTCACGGGTACCAGCCCTCTTATCAAATACGAAAGCATCTGGCCAATCAATCACTCATGTGGTCTTACCAGTACTGTTGGTGGTCAACAACCGATGATTGCTTGGGAATCTTTAACTACTGCTGCTCAAACCGCTCTTGAGACGACTAGTTTTGGGGATGGAAATGTTCCTTTCATTCCTGCTAGTTTTGCAAACAATCTTGCAAAGGCTACCTTTTAGATCATTTTTCAATTTATCAACCACTGGTGGCGACTGGAGTTATCTATTTGGCTCTTCTATCTGTTTATTTTATTTTTGTTGTTTAATATCTGATTATGATGTTTAGATATCTTCGGATCCAGTCCCAAATCAATAAAAATTTGTTTTCTATTCCCAGATCACAATTGCGTGGTGCAGTATGTGAGTATATTGTTCCCAAACAAACTCTCAACCATTAAATTAAAGTCTTCAACAATGATGAAAATCTTTTCGAGTACACTTTATAGAAACAACGGATCTTTCCCAACTCGAGTTTCCTCTTGGACAATATGTTCTCACATACCTCACACCTCCCTGTCCACTTCTCACCCGCTAATCACAGACTCACAAGCCCCCTTCAACTATCTCATAACATAATATGACCAGCGAAATGAACACCAGTGATCTCAACCTACGATCACAATAAATACTAATGACATAGGGACCACAGCATGTAGTCACAGAGTTACCTTTCCAGTATTCCATACTACATTACAGCTGAATCTTTGTGTTTCATCTAACAAACAATCGGAGCGCGTTCAACATTCATTCCAAACAAATCCAAGAAACTCCATGAACCCAGATCCAAATACAAATCAATCATTCGTCTATATTGGAAACCTAGGAAAGGAAGCCCATGGTTGGAAACACAATACACCAAATAAGGTACACCGATCTCTCTCTCTCTATTTATCAATCTCTATATATCAACCTTTATCTACCTACTCATCCATTCACCAAATCATCATTCCAATTTCACTAGATGATAAAGGCACCAAACAAAAAATAGCAAATGTCCGTCTATACAACGCAATGTAATTCAGTCCCAGAGAGTATATCTCAACTTCGCGCATAGCATATAGCACATAGTACACTATACACCACACTATCCCTCCATTGCCCCCTCTCCCCTTAATATCACTCATATTGCCAATACACCACATACTCATACCCATACTCATAACCATACCCACCTATACTATACCACTTCTCGCCTTCTCGCCCGCGAGAATACGTAGAAATCTCGTTTACAAAGAAACGTAGGAAAAAAAGAAAAAAGAAGAGATAAAATCACATATAAAAAAAAGAGAAAGAAATGGAAATAACGAGAAGAGTTATAAGAATAAGAACGAAAAGAAGATGGGGCTTTTTTTAAAACAAAACATATAATACAGATAGAAAGGAAAAACATTAAGAGAAAAATACCAACCAAGCAAATCACATCACATCACATCCACGCCTTCCCAGCAGAAAAGAACCTCGATATTTCCAATCACTCTCCCTCCTTCTCCTTCTCCCTCTCACTCTCCCTCTCCCTCCCTCTCCCTCTTAAAACTTTCCAGACTTCAAACTCCAAACTTTAACCTTCAAACTTCACATAAAGATAAGAAATATGCAGTATGAATATCTGGAATATCTAGTACACTGGTCCGACCGGGTCTTTCCTTCTGGGGAGCCGCATGCCCTTCACTGGGTGTGTCGGGGAACCAAGACTTTTACTCGATACCCAATGTCGAGTTCGAGTTCGAGCATCGAGATTTGAATCGAGATTTGAATCAGTAGGTAAGTAGGGAAGGTTAGACAAGAACAGGTCAATCATTTCACACTCACCATTCACACGTATGCATACAATACATGCAAAACTCATGCAAGAAAGAAATTCTCGAAAATATACACCGTCAGATTCGCCGTATACACTACAGTAGCTAATCCCGTCCTCTCTGTTCTCAGCAATATTCTCAGCAATACCCATACCTCAGCGTCAGCAACTTCAAGCGCGGTTACACAGTGCCAGCGCTTGCATTACTTGTATTACCCCCCGACCAGTGCCTCCCTACCATCCAACTTTCTAACTGTGCTTACTTTATCTGCGGTTGCAATCTTTATATTATTGTCTTGGGTGTGCATATAATATATATTTGCGTTACCTGCTGCATTACTCGTTGTAGCTGCAACTGCATAACCTCTAATCGCGCCGGAAATCTCGTAAATCTGACCCATGACGTTCATCTAACACACCACACCATTGATGAAGACTTGTGCTGTGCGAAAAGGGTGCAGCTTCCATCCAAAATAATGGGGCACAGCCAGCCAGCAGGACCGGTTTTTGCTGATGCCGAGAGATCGAGCACTGGAAATCGTTGGGATGATGGTTTTAGCTTGGTGCGATGCGATGCGGTGCGGTGCGAGTCTGATGTAGAGCCGCTGTCAGAAATGTAAGCTACTTGTTTTGACGGCGCGTGTTGCGCTTCTTTTTGCGTGCCTATCGGCAAGACGCGGAGATTCTGGAAACACTAGAACAGAACTGTGTGCTTGAAGTTGGTATTGTCGAATTATGGGTATGCGATGATGCAAAAAACAGTCGTGGCGGACGAATGGATGGCTCTTCAACTTCTTGTATGTGGTAATGTAATGATCGGAATAAAGTGATCATGTACAAATGGTTGGTTCGAGGCGAATTATTGTACAATTTGATATCAACAATTTAGAGCTTTCGATAATTTGTCGGTTCGTCTGGAAAACTGACCCTCTTCTTCTTCTTGAGTTGACATGGTTGCAGGTAGCTTGATCGTCTCATTCTGAACAACATGTAGTATGATATGCTCCGATCTCATATGTGCACGCAGACTGTCACGGGTTTGACATTTCAACCCACACGCATTACACTTTAAATCACTTGAGGTGTGATCAGCTTCCTGGTGCCTATAAACATAATCTCTCAGAGGAAACGTCTTATCGCAAAGAGAGCATCCGTATGGTTCCCCTTCTGATCTATGCACAGATCTCATATGTCGAGTCAGTTGGCATTCCTTTGCAAAGCCTTTACGACAATTACTGGTTGTACAGGTGTATCTGTCCGAAGGCAACCCTCCTTTGGAGCCATCGAAAACTGAGAGAGGTTGCAGAAGCTCGACCGGCTTAGGCTTGGAAATTTCGGATGTTGACGATAGTTTGGGTGTTGAGATTTCATCTTTACGGTTGCTCGATGAACCCATCAATTTTGACCGTTTAGGGATGACAAACTTTCTTTATGTTAGTACACGCATGTACTATTGCTTCAAATGATTACTTACGTAAGGCTTTGATTTCTTCTCAGAGACAACTGAAATATCTGGAGACTCTTCCCATTTGCGCTTTTCGCTGGTCACAGGAGTTTGTGCAAGGACGGGTTTGTGTGGTATTTGTGGGACCTTTTTGACCGACTTCGAGATAGGAAGTGGCTTTTGCTCCTCTTCCAATCTTCTATTTTGCTTTCCAACGGGCAGTGACGGTGTCGTTAGGGGTTTCGTTATGGGTAATGAATCCCGTCGTGAAGCTTGATCAACATTATTGTTCAAAGTCTTGCGGATAAATGGGGGTGAGTGGTCGATAACATCCTCATCGCTGGGATTGGCAAGTAAAGATTCGACCACAGCTCTAGTATCGGGATACTCTACGCATAAGCGTAAAATTATTTTGCCAAGTTGATTGGAACTAGAGGATGTAATGGCGTCTGCGAGAGGTCGAAAGAATCGTCTCTTGTCGAGTCCGATTGATTCGAGTATGGTTGAAGACTGTGAAACCTCGGCTTGAGAAGACTCTCTCTTCAAAAGCTTCGGATTGGTCGAAGAACGACTCTGAGGTTGACCATCGAGTCCAATTGGTTTTCCAGGCGGGATAATACAAGCTGTATGGGTAGAGGTTTCATTTTCTGAATCAAAACTTGTCTTTGATTTCTCCCCTTTTGTTATTTTTCTGGATGATAATGATTTGATGTCGTCATCATCCTCCCCATGAGATGTGATATGCTTCTCGTTCTCGTTCTGAGCAGGTGGCACCGTAGCTGATGAGATGAAAATATCCGTGTTGATGACAGCTGCAATAGCTTTTATTGCGGCAGCATCTTGTAATGCTTTCAACTCTCCCAATTTCTTAGCTTCTTGTAATGTTTTAACCTTTTCAGCCTTTGCCTGTGCCAAAAGGAGTTTGTAATCCGTTAACTTCCCAGTATCGGATTGGTTAGTCATTACGTCTCAATATAGAACAAGCCTCCACTGCTTTAATTTCCACTTTAAATTGATAACTCGAATGAGGGATGGACTTGTGGAATATAGAATATGGAATATAATGAAGTATAGAATGTGTTCAAGAATCAACAATTGGGAAGATTAAGTGAAGAAGAAAAAAAAAATGAAGGGGAAACCTGGGGAGAGAAAAGAAGGAAAGAAGGGATAAGAAAAAGGAACCAACCCAACGGTGTGTTGGTCTTCCATAACTACTTACTTTCCTTACCAATAATAGAAATCTTTGCAGATGTAAAAAGAAAAAGTGTGATATTTGATCCAGTCACGATGAGTTAAATCCCCACCCGCACGAATAAGATTGATTTCCGAAACGCCACGTCACGTGATATTATCGGTTGAATTAACAGCCGAGCTCCGATCATCTGAGAAAAGAAAGAAGAAGCACCTCCACCATTTTCACCGTTTGAATTCAAATCAAACCTTTTTCGAGAACTCTTTCTCGTTATTGAAGAATGCTTTTACAGTCTCAATCAGAAAAGTAGACATTGAGATGTCAACTTTCGGCCTGTTTTGTTGGCTGATGGAAAGAAATATAAACTCAATTTACTCAATTCAAATTTCAACACTTCTCGAATTCCTTCATCCATTTATGATCTATCTTCCTATGCATCACTCTAATATTAACTTGCATGAGCATGTCGATTATTAAATCGGATTCCCTATGTATGTCTGGATTCTTGAATAATGTATCTCTGGGCTGAAAGCTATCTCATGGCATGCCAGATTTTATTGCAAGTCGCAAAAGCTTCATCTTTCTGCCTTCCCTTACATTGAAATATTCCAAGCACTTATTGGTGGCGTGGTGGGAAAAAGAAATACTCTACTCAAATCAATCATTCACCTTATGAGACCTACATACAGACTATTCTGTATGTCTTACCATCAACTCCTGCATTTGGTTTGAATGTATCTCTTTTTTTCACATATCCAAATGACGATTTCAGCAAGCGTAATCTCTTTCCTATGATGATGGTCAATAGTTTTCAGCCATTCTTCCCCCAAGCTGGCCTGTATCTTTCTTCTCGTTCAAGACAATGGACAACTTCTTACCCCTTGATGGCTCTAAGAATTTGCCCAGACCTTCAATTATTTAGTATCTCAATATTCTCTACCTTACTCCATTTCTTACTTCTCCTTCATTCTCATCATAAATTGTCCTTCTTTTTGCATTTAAGTCCTCTATCCTTCGGGAGGTTCGACAACGCCAGCCTTTAAGCATCATTCATTCTGCTCAAAGTAATCATGGCACCACATTCGCTAAGGGATACTTTGTTCTTTGCCGCCACTTTTGGTGTTGCAAGTGCAAGCATTAAATTAGAGGGTCGTCATCCTGGGCATGTTAACAGGGACGTTGTTCCACGTCAGGCCAACTGCCTGCCGCCAGTTACTGTTACTGTTTACGCTTGTTCGACATCCCTATCTTCAAGCATCGCTTCATCTTCAGTATTTGCGTCAACCAGTTCGGAACCTGAGTCGATAACAAGTACAGTATCAACTGTCTCCAGCCAAACGACTTCGAATCCTATTGCGAGCAGCAGTCTTCCATTATCACTTTCAAGTGGCGAATTCTCATCTACATCGATTCAAATTAGTTCCGGAAGCCTCTCATCGGTGCTTCCAACTTTCACTAGTTCAGAGTCGCTGTTATCATCGGTATATACATCGGTTAGCAGTACATCGAGCCCTGTCATTGGCAGCTCTTCCGAGGTATACAGCTCCTCGACATCAGTTTTTAGCTCAGAATCCGGAATTTCGACGTCGATTGCCAGTAGCGATGCTGTGGTTGAGTCAACATCGAGCTCTGTTGCTCTTCCATCAAACACTGCCTCCGAAACTAATGATGTCTGGAGCTCCTTCGGAGTTGCTAGTTCTACAACCCAACTTGCTTCAAGTTCTGTCGTCTCGTCGTCTGCGTCTGAAATATTTTCTCAATTGATCTCGAAATCCATAGCAGCGCCTAGCAGTTCTATTGGTTTTGTGCCAACGTCCTCCACAATCATAATCACTAGTTCCGCTTTGTCATCTGCTGCAATAAGCTCAAGCGCTGTCTTGCCATCATCCCTCCCAGCCAGCTCAAGTGCCACTACTGCAGGATCATCAGTTCCTGCACCAACACAGGTTCCATCCATCGATACTCCCGCTGGTGAATACCAGGAGATTGGTTGCTTTTTGGATTCCACTTCCAATGGTTTCCCGTTGATTCCACCTCCCATGCCCATTGCCGATAGTATAGATCCATCAGTCATTGATACCCCTGGTCACTGCGCATTGTTCTGTTCTACAGCCGACGATGGTGCTTCATTTAAATACATGGGAATTGAGCCAGGTCACTGCTATTGTTCAGATGGATTTGATTTCGGTCAAGAAGAGGGATCATGTGATTTCCCATGCCCAGGTGACGAGTCTCAATCTTGTGGAGGTTCTCCGCCAGTCCGGAGGCTTACACGTCGTGCTGGTCCTCCATCCATTGTCGCCTACCAACTTTTCCCAAATGCCATATCTTCTTCTGCCATCTTAACTACTTCCACCAGTATTGAGTCAGTTAGCTCGGCCTCATCTACAGCTGTACAAACCAGTATTGACCCTTCAATCTCTTCCAGTGCTGGTATTGAATCTTCGGTCACCACCGCCTCAGCTGTTCCCACGATTCCTCAAATTGAGAGTCAATCCCTCACATTTTCATCATCATCATTCTTTGCTTCAGAATCCAGTATTATCTCTAGCAGTTCTTTCCCCAGCGCCTCAGCTATTCCTACGACATCCCAAATTGAGAGTGAATCTCTCACATTTTCATCATCATCATTCTTTGCTTCAGAATCCAGTCTTATCTCTAGCAGTTCTGTACCCACCGCCTCGACTGTTCCTACAACTTCCCAAATTGAGAGTCAATCCCTTACCTCGGAATCGTCCTTATTCTTTACTGAATGCAGCACAATCCCCAGCAATCCTATACCCACCACATCGACTGTTCCTACAACTTCTCAAGTGCAAAACTCCTCGACTTTCGGTGTTCAGAGTTCCACTTCTTTTGAAATTCCGAGTTCCACCGCTCTCCCCTCTGAGCTCCCAAGCAGTACACAATTTCCTTCATCAGCTGCTGCCTCCCAGACTCCACCAATTTCGTCGACAATTCCCTCCTCATTCTCTAACCGTACATCGTCAAGTTCAAGCTCTAGTACCACATCTACCTGTCCAGCAGCAACAATCACAAATGGTGGATTCGAATCTGGATCTTTGGCGCCATGGGCACCAAGAAGTGATGGTATCGCCAACGCCAAGAGTAACATTGTTATCAGGAATCCTGCTGTTGCGCACAGCGGTGAACATTACCTGTGAGTGTTTATTCCCTTCAGTCTTTCATGATCTAATTCTTGCTTTCAACACCCTCTTGTAATAATCCAAACTAATCCCCACCTAGCCAAATAACCATGACTCAAGATTTCCTCTCCCTCGTTCAGCAAATCACAACCATCTGCCCAACCACTCGCTCTCTTACAGTGACCGCCTGGGGTCAAGCCGCCAGATCCCACGACTGCTATCTTCAAATCTGCATCAACAAAGACAGCTACTGTTCCAAGCCCACAACTTTAAAGAAGGGCAAGTGGAAGAAGAACACGCTTGTTTACAAGCCAAGAAGGAACCAAGTCGGCAAGACCGACGCAAAGGTACAGATATATACCGAGTGCAGAGGTGAAACTGATGGTATGGTTTTGATTGATGATGTGGTCATTACAAAGACGAAGTTATCTGGAAGAGGAGTGGTGCCGCAACTTGCACTCAGAATGGGAACCTTGAATGAGTAGAGCGCCTTTTCTGATTTAGATATCTGTTGTATTGATTGCCATGGTGGAGAGAAGAAAATAATTTGGGGAAGAGGGGATATGGGGCGCGATTCAATTTTGTTCTTTCAAGTTCTTTTTAGATTTTCATTTTCATTTCTGGAATAAGGGATGGGGGGTATGGAATACATGCAACGACGGATTAATGTTTCGTTTCATTTTTATGTATTAGTTATGTATGAGGTTAGAAAATGTCTATCTATAGGGATAACTTAACTCAAGATGATATTAGCTCTTGATTTTTTCTTTCTTGTGCTCATCTCTTGGGGATCTTTAGACTCAAGGGGGGACTTGCTCCTACTTTCTGCTAATACCCGCTTTGATATTCGGTATAGACAGGTAGGCAAAGCGATTTAATTTAATTGAGGGCAAGTTCGGGTGGTGTGATCAAAATTTTACAGTAAGTGGGGTGTTAGGGCATGGGGCTACTGTATTGTCACGATTATTGTCACGGCTCTTGTCACGGTTATTGTTGGGTTGCGGGGTTGCCGGGTTCTGGAGGTAAAGTTGGACGTGCCGGGCTGAGTGGTGAGTTGTGTGGTGGTTTAAAGTGGTGGGTGGTTTGAGTGTTAAGTTGAGCGGTGGTGGTAGTGGTGGAGATATGGGACTGAGTAGGAAAGGGTGTATTAGTGCGTCTTTATGGATCAATTTGAAGAAATGTAAGGAGGTATGGAGGTGGGACAGGCGGACGGGGTGAAGGATAGTCTTCTTGAGAGGGGATAGAGGGGAAGCATAAGTTATATGAGGGGGAAGTGGTAGAGATATGATGTATAGGGAAGAAGAATGACACAGGTGATGAGTGCATTGAACATGGAAAGGAAGCCGCAAGATAGATAACAACGTGAAGAGCATAATTTGATCTGTTCATGAACGAAAATTGGGAAAGACGGAGAAATGGTATAAATAGAGCCTTGCACGACAATGTTTGGATGTTTCGCTTAAATTGGCATATAAGGTAAGGTTTCACGAACATCGCACGTGATGGTAGACACAACTCGGGAGTCTCGAGATGGAAAACACAGTTGTGATAGACAATCGAGCTTGCAATAAACTTTCAAACTGGAACCATTGTGGAAGAAAGAGGGGCTTATGCAACGAGCTGTTCTTCCCGAGTAAGAAGTCAATTTTTGTGGCCGAATTGAGGAGTATGATACCGATGTGACGGTTCCTCTGAACGACTCTTTCCATACCCGGATTTTACCGATTATCGAGATAAACAAGAATTAGCCCCGCTATGCAGTGTTTGTGCATGCGCGAACTAGTGCCTCCACCTTGTTTGGTATTGTGGAATGACAATTGCATTTCGCGAATCTCCTACTGGGTCAGTAGTTACTGTCACATGGTCAGTTAGATACGCAGGTAGCCAGTGCTCGTGAGAGACTCCATACTCGGCCACAATTCTTATATGGTAAGTCGATTCGGATTCCGCAACGGTAATCACAGCCACAGATATGCTCTAAGGGTATGGAGTTCATTCATCGTCGTATCACGATGCCTATTAAGTTATCACCTTCATCTCCATTTGTATCACCATACCTGATTTCTTTTCGCTCAGCCTGCGATCCAGCTAAATCATGATAACGAATTTTCTCCCATCAGTCATGCTTAATTCTGAACAGCGCGATGACAACAATTGCACAGCTCTGGTCTGATTTACTGACCGGATTAATTGTGGTTTTTTGTCCTATTCGCATTCTCTCTTATACACACTTTCCAATGAGAGTTATGTTGAAGATGAAGCCAAGTATAGCAAGCTACGAATGACGCTCGCTCTGCAGTCTAAAGGCACAATATCTGGCAGGTATCGTTGAATAATGTCGCAACTCGTCTACGTGACTTTCCTGAGAGCCTCGACAACGATATGAGCAACTAGGTCTAGGTTAAGTAAGCTTGCGATACTGTGGCAGGAAATGAGATATGCTACTGGTTGTTGCGAGCCATAGCAAGCCACAAATCTGTTCAGATCTGAAGAAAATATCACAAGGGTAATCATAGGCTAAGAGGGTTGGTTAATCGGTCAGTAGATCACCTGTGGGGGCGAGATATGCAAGGCTGTAAGCTACCTAGAGGGAAGAATAAAGCCGACCCAAAGTGCAAAGATCGAGACACATGACTTTCATCTCCAGAAATAGACTAAGACTAAGACTTAGGCACCCGCGGGGCGGATTATCGATCTGGTGGGTAACCTGTAGGTAATCCGCTAGCGGGGCGGGTTATTGGAAAATTTGAATCAGTACCTGTGGGTTATCTGTCATATCCACAATTAGTGAATTAGTAAATTAATCCATAGATTATAATCTATTATAACCAACTATTTCGTGAATAACTCATCAACCCGCAAATGATTCACGAATCAGGTTATCTTGAAATCCTAATGGAATAGGTAATAGCTCTGGTGAGTAATTTGCGGGGCGGATTATCTATGGTATCTATAAGTTATAGATTACTTTTGCACAGTTTTACTATCTCTGGAGATAAAAGTTATATATCTCAGTCTTTACATTTTAAATCGGCTTTATTCTTCTCTTCAGATAGTTTACAGTCTCGTATATCTCGTCCCTCAGCCTCAGTCTCAGCCTCAGGTAATATTCCTATACAATACTTTCCTCTTATTTTAAGATACACTTTCCTGCATACTTTGAGGTACTAGTTCGCACATTCACCAGCCATTTGTACTTATTTTAATGGACAAGATGGTCATGAAATATTTGTTCTGCTCTTCTTACATGCCACTAAGTATGGGTGTACGATAAGATTTTCCCAATGCGCTTCATCAACTATCAACGGTGTTATGTCACGGTTTCCATCCCAAACCTCTCATCTACCAAAGAAAGTTTCTTCGTTCTTCCTCGAACCTCAAAAGTGTAGCTAACCGAGTCAAAATTTAACCAATCAAGTCTTTCCTTGAAATCAGACGACTTGTTCATTCCACCTTCTTGTTTTCAAAAACCAAACATGTAGCTGCTGCGTTGAACAAGAATTATCGCGGTAACTCAGCTGTCACCTCTAAGCACCCCCGTCGATACCATCGTCATGGTAAAAGATTGCTTCAAACTCCTGCAACATGCTCTCCACTCTAGACATTGCAGCGGTAATAGTGTCATGTTCAGCAACATGTTGTTGATCGGTTGATGTATGAGGAACAGAACGATCAGGGTGGTTGAGGAACAAATTGATGCGAAGTCGCTTCGGTAAGGGTATTGCTGGAAACATGATTGGAACTAAAGAGGGTTGTAATATTAGAACATCATGAGTCTCCGAGTAGAACTCAAATAATACCATACAAGGTTCACGAAGACTTGACTTGGAATAAACTTGGTGAAGATAAAAAGAAGATGAACTTAAGTCAACTACCCCACTTTTCGGCCACCTTCAAAACCCACACCGCCTCAGCAACCTACCTTCTTAAATATTTTCTGATTAAACAACCATTCAATCAATTGATTTCAAATTTTGATTTATTATTATTTATATAATATTGAAACTCTATATTGAAGATGATATTGCTGTAGTTTTAAATACTATTGTAAATAGTGTTTCAATATGAAAAACTGCTCTGGAATATAGGATTTCTTGTATTATATTTTAGAATTATTGTGACCAAAAGGGTATAAACAGGACTCCGATTGTGTACTTAGAATCTACAAATGAAGAGCTATGTAGGATGCTAAAAGGAGGACTATATATACAGGTATTGGGAGCCATAAGGGCTAGGCCCAAAAGAGTGAAAGAGTCCTAGAGATAAGCATCGTACGATGCCTAGGTCTAGAGCTGTAGAGCTAGAGCTCTAAGCTGTGAAACGAAGGTCCAAAAGAGCCGTCATATCATACTATGTATGTAGTATGAGCCAGTGGGCGGAAGAGAGCCGTCTGTTCCGTCACAATTATATTAATGATTATGTATCCCATCAAAAAGGTTTCGAAATGATACAAAAGATTGCCCCGATTCAGGAGAGACGTTTAATAGAATGAATATTAGTATAAAAAGCTTGGGTATTAATCCTACTCATCAACAAATTCGAGAAATTGTTGAATGTTTTTTTAATATAAAAGAATTCGATTCTATTTTTGGAAAACAATGGATATATAATTTTTGAAGAGGAATCCAGAAATTAGAATCAAGAGATAATATAAAATCGATTTTGCCTGAGTTTTGGGTACTTTCTATGATATTATTACATTATGATTTCGAAAATTCAAATTTTCCGAGATTATTGATATAAAACTACAAAATCGATACAATATAAATTAGGCTAGTATAATAGAGGATCAGTCTAGTAATAAGAAACTTCCAGTGTTATTATATTCAAAAAAAACAACCTGGTTCAAGAGTTTGGATATCTTTTATTGAGTATATTTCGGCAATGAAAAGGGCCTGTAAACTACTTATTATTTTCAAAGGGAAAACTGTTCAACAATAATAGTTTTCCATTAATCTTGGTTTTTATAAGGATTGAAATTTCATTGTAACAGAAAATGGATGGATTATTAATGCTACAGGATTAGAATAATTGGAAAAGGTATTTATACCTCAAATTATCCTTTTTGAACCCGGTAATATATAATTATTTATATTGGATAGGTATAGAAGTTATAAAACTATGCCCTTTATATACAAATACTTCAAATATAACATATATTTTCTATTCCTATCACTATATACATCTCATATCCTATAATCATTAGATTTATCAGTTTTCTCACCTCTAAAAAATGCCTATTGATATATATTCAATAATTTGAATTCTTTTTCTGATTCTATATCAATTAAAAATGCATAGCTTTCTTTATTACTATCAGAAGGCTAAAGCAAAAGCTTTAATAATCTATAATATCAAAGTGGGATAGAAAGCATTAGGTTTATAATCCAAAAACTGTATTAAATCTCTTATAAGTTGATTATTACTTGAAAATAGTAACTAAAAGATTTTATTGATTAATCCAGTATCTAATAATGATTTTTAACTTTAATGGAATATAGGAATATTAACTATTGTTTGGAAAACCCTTCAAAAAGTATTTGATCTTTGATTATATATATCAATTATAATCTAAGAAAAAGAGTTTGATTTGTTGACAAGACGGTTGCTTTTTTGAAAAATTATTAAGGTTTTTGATATCGAAGATTATAAATTTATAATATTAGGGAAATGAATAAAGCAATTGGAGTATCAATTAAAGGCAATTGTATTTAAGAAAAGGTGTAAGATTGTAACTAGTCTAAATATTAGGTTTACAAAGATTAGAGTTATTAGGAAAACATAAATCGTGACTGGGGATTATAGAATTATTGCAGAGGATAGTGATGATATAATTGAAAGTGATGCTACAGGCGATTTTATTTTAGTTGAATAGTTATTGAGTTATATGGTTTGGGAGATAGAGAGTTTTTTTTTATTAGATGGCCGAAAAGTGGGGTAGTTGACTTACTCAGACGTGACGGAGCCTTGTAGGGCTTCAGTTGAACTCTGACTATGACTTGACATAGCGGTACTGTAGTATAGGGATATTGGTATAATTTGATGTACCAGAGAAAGTAGTAGGCAGTGCTAGAAGAACGATCCAAGTTGGGAGACGAAGGACTTGAGAAGAGATATCATTTTGAGAGAGAAGATGAGCATTTATATGGGTTTATCTGGGTCGGGGAATCGAGTTATGAGGCAGAAATGAGATATCTTACTAATGAAGTGTACACCTTTTTCCCTGTACACACTTCCCCGCATAGGAAGAACAGTTGTACAGCTTAGAGCACGGTCCAAGAGTAATACTTGGGACTGATATATATACGGATTACTTTTACTGAGGCTCAAATTCCTATAGCGAGCATCTATCGATTTTGCTCCGCAACATTCTTGGTTGATAAGTCGCTTTAGGTTCTGCTTCTAAGACACCTTGATCGGTGCTCGCACTTCTTGTCAATATTGCGTTTGGGAAAAGCCAGATTTAAATATTTCTCCGTTTCGTAGAGACTTAGACAGTAAGTTAGTCTTCATCAAAAACTTCACGCGTATATGTATATATAATAGATTTATATTAGCATGTGTAAGTAGATCTTAGGAAGTTTATTCAATCGATTCATTTCTATATCACTGTTATCAGTAAAATACTCAATAGTAAGGCAACGACTTCTATAATTATAATTGAACCACCACACCAAAAACGGCTCATTTCTTTTCAAACCAATATCTCAGCAATAATTACTATAGGGGTCAGTGGATCGGAGCTTTTTGTTCTATTGGGGCTGTATCGATCATGTGACCAGATCTTGAGTTACACAACCAAAAATTGGACGTGCCAACTCTAAACCACTACTACCTACAACTTATATACCGAGGTTTTGTAACATGTTACACTGGACTTTGCATTCTCTTATTCTCGCTTTCAACGAGTATCGTCGGTTCAAATTTGTTGTATCTTACAAAAAGTTCGAGTTTTATTTTTTGCAGAATAATCATTTTACAAAGATTTTAGCGAGAAAATAAAGGAAAAGTTGTCGCCCTAGCTTTTGTGTCTCGCAACAAAGCATTTATTCGTTCTACTCCGATACATTACCGTGCACTCGAGATAACTGTACAAGTAATTATTGCAAAGGAACAAAAAGCCATTCATCAAGTCATCGGATGATCTCCTTGCCCCATGCGAGTTTTGCCTTATCTTTCTAGTCATCGCCTTCTGTTCAACATGTACTCGAACATCTAAGTTTCTGTCTAATGCAGTTGTTAATCGGTGAATCTGAGAGCTGGTATTAAAGCGGCTATTGGAAATAGCACTTGTACTATTATTCCTATTCTTCAAATCTTGATTACCACCAAACCTATCAACGCTCAGCATAGTGCATATTCTAGATCTGGCAGCCGTGATGAATACCCAATTAGTGGCTGCTGGCTATTTCTGTGATGGTACAGCATTATCTAGAATTTAAAAGTGACATCGGATTCGAAAGCCAGTGATCCTTTGAGATCTGGGGGTTGAATGTGGGGAGTAACGGGTTGGGGGTGGCGTATTGGAAAATTACTTTTGGGCTGCATTGGTTTATATATATGGTTCGCAAAGAGTGGGTGTTTTTAGCTCTGACCTGATACTGAAATTTGCCTTAGTCTTTTTGGTGAAAATCGAGCCGCAATGCGAACCATTACAAATATGGCTTTTGGTATTAGAAGGGCTGGAAATCCCCGTGATTAATAGCGCCAAGGATAGCAGCAGAAGAATTTTCTATTTCGCTACACAATATATGGCAAGCACGCATTGCTCACAAATGCCGTTTTGGGTGTGAGAATGGCTGGAATTATCTGAAATTAACAATGCCAAGGAGACCAAAGAGGAGCTTTTGTATTTGGCTACACAACATGTGGCAAGCACGCAATCCTCACAAATACCGTTTTTCCAAGACCGATAAAGATGCTAAATATGGTTTGCCGAGTGTTTCAATTTCATTCAAAAAAGTTCTACGGGTCACCTTCGAATTGCGCGAAAGTTTAGCGTGACAGCTTATCGTCCCTATAATAGCGTAACACAAACATAATTCTTGAGCAACTTCGATACTAATGATTATAATAGTTCCCCAGATTCCTACCCTTATTTCGTGGCTTTGGATTTCAATTTCTATCTAAGTATAAGGTCAATATAGTCTAAGCTTGCCAAACTCATTGATTGGAATGTTGGGATCATCGGAAATTTGCAATTTACTCTCTTGATTTTTAATAACACACTGTTGGCTTCCCAGTACAGTATCGATGTAAATTTGGTCCATAAAGCCACATAAGGCTGACCTAGATATTTTGAACGATGCACAAGCGCTCCAGTCAAGATATTTTGACTCGATTAGTTATTATCGTTATCAGTCAGTGTTAGACAATGAAGACTTTGAGTATTAAAGTTATTGTGATATGATTATCTCGTCGATTTCTTAATATAATTACCGGGTTCTCAAGCAGCTCAAGCATTCTGATTGCTGACACCGGGTCAGTTGAAATTATCAGGCTGGCTACTGTGAGGAAAGTCATGTGAATCCACGCCAAGATGCGATACTATACATTGTGAAGGGCGTGAAGAAAGGTAGAGGTGTAAAGCGAAAGACTTTTGGTAAGAGTAATGTTTGGATGATGACAAATAATTCAAGGAAATCATATCTGTTGTATAAGCCGGCAATTAAACAATAATTTGTGCGGCTGGATTCGAGGTACGGAGGCTTATATGGCGGCCCTTCCCCTGCAA